TTGAAAAAGATAACCACAGTTCAAGGGCTTATTCTTCCTGCTATCAAGGATTGGTCCAAAGCTACAGTAATTAAAAGAGTGTGCTATTGACATGAAGGTAGACAAAAAAATCAATGGAAAATAATAAATAGCTCATAAATAGACCCCGATATATAGGGCTAATTGATTTTCAATATAAGTATCAAGGAATAACCTCTTCAATAAATGATGCTAGAAAACATGCATATCTGAATTGTTCTGCGTAATAAAGTGAAGAAACAATTGCAGTCTGGGAATTAGAAGAAAGAAGATGTAGACTGAAGAATGGTTGGGGAAAAGCTGCATGGAATAAAACTGAAGGAAGGATATTAATTTTACTGGCAGTCCTCTAAGTACTAGGAAATTTTGGAACTAGATATACTTGTATTAAGAAGTTTGCTATGGTATATGTGATGCAAACATCTTCTAACAAATTTGCTGCAATCTTTTTGGTGAAATTTGCATAACCCATCAATGCTTGATGCTTTTAATTTGAGTGGATTATTTCTAGGTAATGTGAATATGCGGTTATTTCTGTGTTTGAATTTTGCAAAATAATAAAAAAAGGAATGCCCACTTAGAGGTATATTGCCATGTGGAAAATAAATGAGCAGAAATTAAAAACAAGTGCATATCTATTAGCAAAGAAAAATGAAAAAAAAAACCTCAAGGATTCCTTCACACCATAAAGATAAAAGAACTCAAAACAAAATATGATATATATGGGTAAATATAAGTGGATAGTGAGTATTTCAAAGAATAAAATAATTATTTTATCAAAAAGTAATGTAGAAATATATGTAGAATTAAAATACTAGACAAAAACAGATGGAAATAAAAGAAGGGTAAACATTATTGAAGCATTCCAAGCTTCTATCATTAATGAGATTGTAAGGTAATGATCAAGGATACAAGATGTAATTTTTAAGGTTATCAAAAATGATACTATGATACTATAAAACTCTTAGTTAAATCAGAAAATAAAATAATTTTTTAAACTAAAATGATTTAAAATGTTTGATATATCTAAGTCAAAAAAAGAGAGTGGGACTCTTAGTTATATAAAAAAAAATAATTTAAAAATTTTGATAAATCCGAAAGAAGTCAAGAAAAGAGAGAAGTAAAATAAAACAGATAAATCACATGAAAATAAAGGTCATTCAGTATATAAGTGATTGCATCAAATGTACTGTTGAGATTTTCCCAGTGGATTAAAACAAAAATACTAAGCATATATACTGGTTACAAATGGCATGTTGTAAATATAAACATACAGAAAATTTAAAAGTAAAAGAAGAAGGAAATATTTACACCATTGCTGCACCCTTGCTCCCCAAATAATCGCTCACTAAACGAAAGCTTGTGTAGTCAAATTAATGAGATTCAAAGGCAATTTTTTTTCATAGATAGATAAATTTCCAATAGGCAGATTTTAGGAAGCATCACGAAGGCAACTTTGAGAAAGGGACACTTCTAGACAAAAAAGGTTCTTTTGTATGGAATTATAAAAGGCCTCAAAGAGTTAAAATAATTTTTTTAAAAAGCAAGCTGACATCACACTATCTGTCTTCAGAACATTCTACAGTACTACAATAAACAAAACAGCATGGTACTGACATAAAAACTGATACATAGGCCAATGGAACTGAATAGTGAACACAAAAATAAACCCACACATCTATAGCCAAGTGATGTGTGACAAAGGCATCAAAATCACACATTGGGAAAAGGATAGTATCTTCAATAAATAGCACTGGGCAAACTGGATATTCACATGCAGAAAAATAACTCTGAACACTATCTCTTATCACATGCAAACATTAACTCTAAGTGTAATAAAGACTTTAATGTAAATTCTGAAATGATAAAACTACTAGAAGAAAATGTAGAGAGATGCTTCACAGCAGGGTCTAGGAAAAGGCAACTAAAGCAAAAATAGAAAAATGGGATTACACTGAGTTGAAATGCTTCTGTGCAGCAAAGAAACAACTTACAGAATGAGAGAAAATATTTGCAAACTTTGCATCTGACAAGAGAATAATACCCAGAATATATGGAATTCATTAGCAAAAAAACAAATCCTGATTTTAAAATGGACAAAATACCTGAGTTGACTGAATAGATATCTGTCCAAAGAAAACAGGCAAATTGCCAACAAGTATGTGGGGAAAAAAAAAAAAAGCTCTACATCACTAATTATCAGGGAAATGGAAACAAACCCACAATGAGATCTCTCCTCTTTTCCATTAGAATGGCTATTATCAAAAGGACAAAATGTAAAAAATGCTTATGTGAATGTGGGGAGAACACTTACACATTGTTGCTAGGCATTCAAATTAGTATAATCATTACAAAAAACAATATGAAGGTTCTTCAAAAATTGAAAATAGAACTACCATATGATCCAGCAATCCTACTATTGTGTATATTATTCAAAAGAAACAATATCAATATGTCAAAGATATATCTACATGGTCATATTTAGGCAAAATATAGAATAAATCTAACAGAAGAATAGATGAATGGATTAATCTGGCAGATATACACAATGAAATACCATTCAGTCATGAAATAATAAACTTCATCACTTTCAGAAACATGGATGGATATGGATGACAGTATGTTAAATGAAATGAGCCGGGCACATAAAGACAAATACTGCATGATACACTCATATGTGAAATCTAAAGTTAATTTCATAGAAGTAGAAGAAGAGTGGTGATCAGCGTCAGAGAGGACAGGGTAGACATGAGAATAAGAAGATACTGGTCAATGAGTACAAAGTTATAGTTAGATAAGAGGAATAAGATAAATAGCACAGTAAGTTAACTATGGTTAAGAATATTGGATTGTATATTTGAAAACACCAAGAGGATAAGATTTTGAATGTTCTTATCACAAATAAATGATAAATGTTGAGATGATGAATGTGCTAAATAATCGGATTTATTTATTATACAATGTATGCTTGTATCAAAACCTCACACTGTACTTGATAATTATGTACAATCATTAAGTGTCAATTCTAAAAAGTTTGATTGAGCTTGTTTAATAAATTTAAAATAAATTCCTACTTATGTTTTTTTTTTTTTTTTTGGAGTTGGAGTTGGAGTCTCACCCTGTCGCCCCAGACTGGAGTGCAGTGGCCACTCCCAGCCACCACAGCCTCGACCTGCTTGGCCCCGGCGATCCTTCCACCTCAGTCTCCCAAGCAGCTGGAACTACAGGCGCATGCTACCACGCCCGGCTATTCTTTTGATTTATTTAGAGACAAGGTTTTGCCAAGTTGCCCAGTCGAGTCTCGAACCCTCAGGCTCAGGCAATCCACTCGCCCGGCCTCCCAAAGTCCTACTTATGTTGATAGTGTAAACTACTTCCCCAAATTTGGCCAAGGCCCATGTGTTTATTTTCAAGTGATCAGACACGTTTGCAGGTTATAAATAGCTGTGGCGAAAAGGTGTTTCGAATTACCTCATTATTTGTAAATGCTATCATGTTTGATGATATTCTAGAAAGAAGTGCATTTTCTAAATTTAATGATGTTTTAAAAATAAATTGGCAAAAGAAGAATAAAATACATAATAGATAACCAAAAAAATCATTTCCGTAAAAATTGAAGAATGAATTGCAGTATTGGAGAATATATGGAAAGTTCAATTCTGCCTGCTGGCAGAGGACATTTGATGTCTTAGTGACTAAGTCAAAAGAGGGTCAGATCAGAACAGGTTTCAACACTGTTTTATCACAGTAATACATGTGTAATGATAATTTTCAAAGATTTCTATTTTGGCCACTCAAAACTGCTCTAAGTCTTTAAAACATAAAGAATATATATTTTTATTTAGAATATGTTTGCAAAAACAGAAATATATATTGTATGTGCAAATGTATGATCACTGCATTCTTCTAGTTAATGTCTAAACATTGGCAACTATATTAATAAGAAAGAGGTCAGACCCTAGTTTACTATATAAGAAAACATATTTAATGGCGAAAAAATTGAATGTTAGTATATTTAAGAACTCAGAATAACCTCATGTTATTAAAGTTTCAATGTGAAAGCTGTATTAACCTTTAAAATTGTGAAGTAGAATATTTATAATACTTAAAGTTTATTTGTGTATTTCTAGACATACAGCAATCACAAACGTATATACAACGTGGACAAATCCTTATCTATCTTGTGGCTTATATTATTTTAAAAATTATTATTCATGGTTACAATAGAACATTTGTCCAAATATTGTTTTCGATTTAAAACGTTTTCTTTACTAAATTAGGTTTGTCTCCTTTGTAGTCATTAAAAAAATTTATAATAACAGCACTCAAATATTCTAACAAACTTCAATGTCTTCTTGAAGACTTATTATTTCTCCATTCTTGATATATTACACAAGAACATTTTATACTACATTCACTCTATGTAAAATTAATTCAAATTTTCTTTTTATTAAATAAGTTTTTAATGACTCATTAGATATTTTCATTTTTAACATAATTATGGCTCCATTTCTAAGCTTTCAAAAGCAAAAATGAACAAAGGAAACCAAACACAAGTTTTTCCTAAAACCAAAGCCAAATAAATTTCAAATAGATTTTTAATTCCTCTAAAAGTTATTTACCATTTACAAAATAGAAATCTGTTCCCTTGACAAATATTTTCCACAAAAACCAAATCAGTCAGCAATATGTATAATTCTGTACTTTATACTGAAACTTAAGCCAACTTATGAATAAAGAAATATTAATTAGGCTACAGTAGTAAATGTTTTCAAGAGTTATCCTTTTAAATTTAACTACTACATAAAAATAAGTTGTCCTCTATATTTAAGTTCTCTGATCTTTCAGTCAAGCTCGCATTGGTTATTAAAAGGCCAGATTTGGAGAAACTGTCTTTTCAAATATTTATAATATTGCATGATGTCTGAATTAGGCAAATATCCTAGCAGAGTAGGGTGGAAATACTATACCTTAATTCATACCTGGGTAAAGAAGGGTTCATAAATCTCAACCCCTTTATCAGATCCTTGCAGTAACACCTCCTGGCCGCGTCTCCAGCTATACCGAACAGGCGGGTTGGAATTGGCCACACACCGGAGGAACACTGTTCTTTCATAATAAAATTGTTCTTTAGCTTCACCTATACTTTGATGAACAGTTACTACAGGGTCATCCAAATCTAGAAGAAATAAAAACAACCAAGTGACAATGTAAGGAGATAGCTGGCTTTAATGCATACTTCTAATTTATTACATTACTTATCACTAGGCTTATTTTTTCATTAAGCTTATTAATCTCATTTGTAAAGAAGTTTCCAATGATAAGAAGTAATAATTACTTCTTAGCATCTATATTTGTTGAGACAGTAAACTGACCTCATATAGAAATATATGTTAGAAATAACTCACATAAAACAGAGCTCCATGAGACAGATAAAAATTCAAAATTCTCATATTCAAGAGTTTAGCTAAAACAATGAACACTAAGGACAAATAAATTAATATTAAGCAGTCCAACTGACCCTTATTATACCTTAATATACTTATTTTTCTAATTATTTATAACAGATATATTAAAACAAATAATTATGTTTACAAATTACTACAATATTTCTGATAACAAAATATGATCTCTCACTGGTTTAAATTTTATCTTCATCTCCAATTTTACATGCCAGGTTATATTTGTTAATTTGAAATCTGCTAATAGAAGGTAATATTAAAATGCATTCATATTTGTATATTGGAACTGAATATGTGTCATTTTACATGTATCCCAATGAAATATTACACACTCTAGGGTTTAGCATTTTCTGTAAGAGGTCAATTCATCAGTATCTTGAGCTTTATGCATCTTATTGTCATTATCTTAACTACTCATCTCTGCAGTTGTAGTGTGAGAGCAGTCAAAGATAATAGGTAAATGAATAAACAACATTACTTGGTTCCAGTAAAACTTTATTTCTAAATACAGATATTCCTCAGTCACATTTAGCCAATGAGCTACAGTTTGCCACCCTTGAAATGACACATCCCACGTTCTTTTCTTAAAAGAAAAATAAATTAAAAAGTGTGTATGCCTTAAGTCAACAACAAGCTTATAGTTCCATGTGGTAGTATACATTTAGCATATATTTTTCAATTATGATACAAACATCTGTGCTAACTACCACCTTCACCTAGCTTTATCCTTTTAATTTTATAACCATGAAAGATTACTTCATCTGGGAATAATAATAGTACCATGTTATTCAGGCTGTGAATGAATTAAATGAGATAGTCCATAAAGCCCTGGACACATAGTAAACGCTCAGTAAAAATTAGCTATTACTGTTAATAATATCATCATCATCATCATTATTGTTGTTGTTGTTGTTTCATTTAAACTCTCATTGGTTCCATGTTGTTTTCTTGCTTTTTTTCTCACCAATTCATAATGCATTCAACTCATTATAATTAGGTGAAAACATCACTTGCCCATTTGTTCAGGCTTTCAAATGCCTCTATATGTGAGAAGACTTTGGGTAAGGCATGGAAACGATCTACCATATTTATATAGAAATAAGAAGACTGAAGCATGTGATATGCTGCCCTGAATATTTGAAAGACATGGTTCCTTAGAAAATACTTTTTGATGTGATAACATAATAAAAAGCCAACAAAAGTAGTAAAGTAATAGTTGCCCTATGGAATCAAAATCCTCTCTTTTAAGAAGAGTTTTGTTTTTTTCATTGTCAAATGTGAACTGCCTGACAGTCCTACTTTGATTTCTAGTTTTGCAACATTCTGAGGACTTTTTTTTCTTCCAACATTAGAATATTTTCACAGTTACCTCAAAGGCTTCTAATTTTAGTAGTGTAAATTTACAGAACAACTGCTGCTTTTTGGTAAAGTTTAAGGACATTTCTGTTTAAATCCACTCTAATAGCTGTGTAGGGATATATGCTGTCTGGTTTTATTAAGTTGGGATATTTAGGGATACTAGCATCATTATCATGAGATATTCATATCTGGGGGGTTTTTTTGAGTTGTAGTCTCACTCTTGTCGCCCATGCTGGTCTCAAACTCCCGTGCTCAGGCAATCCTCTCACCTCGGCCTCCCAAAGTGCTGGGATTATAGGCTGAGCCACCGTGCCCAGCCCAAAGATTTTTAAACTCTACCAAATAGTCACTTACTTAGTGATTAGCCCTTCATATAATATATCAAATCCAACAAGAGATTGATTAACTGAATTTAGTCTTAGTTACTTGAATAAAGATACTCTGATTCCATTGTAAACAATTTATTTCCTTTCTTTCAAAATATAATTTATTTTAGTCATAGGCTCATTTTTAGAAGCTATCAGTTGAATATGTTGGTGAAACATAATTCTGAATCAGAAAGCTTAGGAACAAAACAGAATTGGATAATAAATAGTGTAACAATGGTGAACTTCGTTGGGTTCCAGAAAGTTAATAGTGTCATACTTTCCAATGTCCACTACTGATGTGTCCTTAGCTCTTTTCCTGTTAGATGGTCGTGTCAATAGGCTCAGTCAGGAATAGACCAAACTTGAACACTCATTTAAACATGCTCTTTCTCTGGTCTAGATGAGTTTTGGGTCACAGACTCTAATTCTGTGACAATGGTTTACTGAACATAGTATTGCCTAAGTTATCTGTTGAATTCAATCGTATTTAGGAATTTCTACTTCATAAAATTTCTAAGTGATTTTTTTTCTCTTCAAATTTAAAAGCCAACATGTAAAAACAAGATTTCCTTTAGACAAATGAGATGATGGCAAGGTGAAAAACTATATTTTAAAGACTATATGTATATGTATATTGCACACATATAATGATATATAATTTCAGTAATTTATACACAAATATCACTTAAATATATTTCTATATACATTCCATACATTATTACATATATACTGAATATATGTATTTGAGTACCTTTTAGATCAACACATGTGGGGGGCTGAAATTAAGTAAGATTGAACAGGGAAAGGATTGAAACACAGTGCAGTAGAAAAGGTCTCAGCAGCTATGAAGAGGTTTGGAGTTGGGATGAGACATGGGCTAAGTCTTTCTAGATCCACCTCCCACCCCATCAACCAGTCATTCAATTTGTGCTACTCCCCACCAGGGGACATGACCTTGGGAGAGGCTTCTCTGTTCAGCTTATTTCTAGAGAGGGCAATTTCTAAGGAGAAACTTAGTTGATAGCCACCAGCTGCTATGAGGAAAGGTATCAGCAGCTGGAGGAATGAATGCTTCAGTTTTGAGGAGGGGATCTGGCTGATGTACTATGGCATCCATTCAGATGGACTTGCCAGGTGTGATCATTCTATCTGGGAAAAGCTATTCCAAGATTCTAGTTAGTCTCTTTCTGGGAAAACTTCCAAAGGGAAATGAAGAAGGCGGAGATTTGCTATCTCCTTCTACTATTACCATTCTAGATTACTCTTATCCAGGACTAGTCTATCTCTTGGTAGGTAGCTTACCTAAAGGGGCCACTAGAATATATACCATTACCATATATACCGGTGGTGGTGTTGCATAGTCCTTTCTGGTAACTTAGTTTGTTTCCTCAGTTCATGAGTTCAAGTTCTGAACATTGCCACGGGTTCAGAAATTGGACAATGATGTTCAGAAATCATGCGGGATACAGTCTTCTGATCATCCACCTTTGACTTATTTTAATTGTGTGGATTTTACAATAGTTTACTGGCTGTACACTTGTTTTCCCCTAGATATAATGTGTTCTTTTTTTTTTTTCTTTTTAAAGAAAATATGTTTATTTGGGAATAGAGCATTGTGATGGGAATATGAATGTCACACAATGCTATGTGTATATTCAGGGAGGTAAAGGAAAACATAGATTTTTAAAAAAAAATAAGGATTGTCTACTTGTTTTGAAATAATTATCCTTGGCTATAAAGATCAATAGTAAGGGTGATGTGAGTACAAGTTTGAATAGGCCGTTTCTGGAGAGATGTCCTTGCAGAAGTAATTTTCATGTGAGGTTGCAATGGCCTTGGTGCAAGCATGTGGTTTTTGTAGTCTTTTTTCATTATCAGGCATACAAATGTGAGAATCTTTTCTTTATGGCCTTTCCCAGATGTATTTGTCAGAGTTATATTATGTGCTCTATTAACCATCTCCATTGGGTCTAGAGTCTTGGATGCACTTGAACTAGCTACTCATTACAATAATGTCTGACCACATTGCTTGTTGCAACTAAGAACCATCACCTAGCCTTTATTATTTTGATATCCCATAATCCTTTTTGTTAGCAGAGAGCCCAATTCTATATCTATATCAACAGAGGACAATCATCCCTGAGTTTCTCAGTGGTGCTTGTGTTGCAGTCATCTGCACATTCTTATTGCTTTAGTCAATTAGGTGTCTTCCAAGCTTTTACAAAAAAAAAGTAAGCTGATGATATTTCAAGACCATACCCAATATCACTTTAGTACGCCCACATCTCTGACTCTTTCTTTTTTTTTAAACTCTCTGCATGTCTGCATGGCGGTACTAGCATTTATACTGTATTTAGTGGGGATCATTGCTTTTCCCAAGCTTCCAAGAGCTATACTAGCAGAATATAATATTGTTTTCTGCCGGGCTCAGTGGCTCAGCCTGTAATCCCGCGCCTTTGGGAGGCTGAGGTGAGTGAATTGCCTGAGCCCGCGGGTTCGAGACCCGCCTGGGCAGCGAGACCTCATCTCTACAATAAATCAAAAAATCAGCTGGGCGTGGTGGCGCATGCCTGTAATTCCGGCTACTCGGAAGGCTGAGGCGGAAGGATCGCCGGAGCCCAGCAGGCCGAGGCTGCGGTGGCCGGGAGCAGCCACTGCACTCCAGTCTGGGCGACAGAGTGAGACTCCAACTCAAAAAATAATAATAATAATATTGTTTTCTGCTGTCCTTGCCAAAGTGTTAAATATTGTATTGTGGTTGAATGTTCAACATCAACTCTTATTCTCTGCCTTCACTTGACCTTATACTGTATCCCCAATTTTATTCAATCTTATTTTCTATCCCATTTAATCCAGCAGTCCCAGAATCTAACAGCATAATGCCTCCCGCCCCCACCTCCAGCTCCTGCCAACTGGCTAGAGTCTACAGTCATTTGAAGGATAATCTTTTTGCATAGCTCATTAATGTTATCTACTGGCCCTCTATATTG